CACATAGTTCACACTCCAGCCATGGGCAAAGTTAGCCACTGTTGTCCTTCTGGCTGTGGAGAAGCTATGCATGGCCGACCTCGTAATACATACATAACATGGTCGAAGGTACTGCACATAGTCACTCTTCTATACAAAAGGGCAAAATTGTTGATCGTCGGTAATCTCGATTCATAACATATATTTTATATATCTTACGTGTCAACATGTATCGTCGGCCAACGATGCTTGGCTCGGAACAACGATATCGCGATGCATACCCATACCACTTATTTCTCATTTTGGTGCAACGCCAGCCCTGCATAACAGCAATGTATAGATGCCAGCCATGGCTAGTAGGCAAATGAGAGTAATGAATATTCATTCACATAGTCCCCTTCAACACATGAGGAAGTTTCCTTCTTCGCTGCACATGCTTGTGTATTGCTTATTCTTAAATATTTGAACATATATTCACATATGCCTTATTGTTACTATAGATAAACACAAGCCCATGAATCCAAGCTCATGGGGATTATTCGGAATAAATTATGGGAGTAGTGGCTTAGCAGGCATGGATGGACGAACGCTGCGCGTCTGGTGAAGTAAGGCATCCGCACCAGCTAAGCTTGGCGCTGGCGATGCTACTCGACTTCGCCAAAAAGAGGCTGGGTGGCAAAAGCATGAAAATGAACTTGATTCCCCGAACAGTGCAATTAAATGCTAACCGAAGATTGAAAATCCCACCAAAAGCTAACAAGAGGTGCTGTCTCGATCACCATCAGCCACTTGCAGCCATATTAATGTAAGGGTGGCTACACAAGTTCCATGGCTTTGGAAACTGTTGTAAAAGATTGTTATCTACTGGCAAAATCCTCCAAAATCTTGCGTAGAACCTGGGGAAGTCACCAAATCCTACGCAAATGTTGTTTTTGCAAGCGGCACTGAAACACCTCCCCAAAGATGAGATTTTGTATGGCTGGGGACATTACCAAAAATATACAATTTTTAGTTTCTTCGTCAGAACCAGCAAAACTTCGTTGGGACCATTGGGCAATTCATAATGCCACTGTCACAGAGTTGCTAACAGTGCTTGGAACCCAAAGTAATCAATATCGTACCGGTATGCGTACCGATTTTGTTACTGGAATGGTACGTACCAGATACCGAAATTTTTCGCGTACCATTTCGGATTTATCATTATAAAAAAATTTTATGAAAAATTTGGGGGAGAAGTTGAAGAAAAAAAACAAGAAAAGGACTCAATTGAAAAAATTAAAAAAGTGAGGATGAATTTACTAAAACAAACTCATAAGCCCAGCTCAATATTGAGCAGCCCATCAAAACCCAAATTTAACAAAACCCTAGTTTCCTCTCTTTTAAAGGGAGAAGGAGGAGGTGCGGCTGCCAAAGTGCCAAACCCAAAAAAAAAAAGAAAAAAAAAAAGAAGAGAAAACAAAAAAAAGAAACTTGATTTTTCTCCCTTCTTCAGATCCACCATCGCCACCATCCCCTCCGTTCTTTCACCTCGGAATCTCGGATCTTCACCATCCCCTTGCTGATCTGGCTTTGTTTTTTGTTTTGTGTGGGTTTTTTTGGTTTGTTTGTTTGCTGTTTTTTGTTCTGTTTAGTGCAGATCCAGCGGCCTTCTTTCTCCTCCGGCGGATCTGTGGCGGGCGCACGAGGGCTGCCAGATCTGACACCCACCGCAGCTCTCCTGCTGGTTCGAGGGACTGCCACCGCCTGATTGGGTTACCGCCTGGATATCCTGTCACCACCCCTCAGCCAAAACGACATTGTTTTGGCTGGGGATTCTTTTTTTTTTTTTTTTTTCCCTTCTTGCATAATGTACTGGTCAAATTCCAATGTACTGGACGGTACCCGAAATTTCGGCCGGTGCATCGGAATTTGACCGGTACACCTGAAATTTGACTGAAACGGAATCTTAACTTATTCCGTTTCGGTTAACCTTCAAAACCGGTACATACCGGCCGTACCGACCGGTACGATACGGTATTGACTCCTTTGTTGGAACCACCAAAAATTCGACAGCTCACTCCAACCTTTTTGCACACCTCTAAGCTACCAACCAGAAATTACAACAATGTCAGAGCACATATATAAATTATCTGCTCTTCATTTTCAAAGAGACACACACAGAGAAAAACGCATGTAGTACCACAACAAACTCACATACCAAAAAACTCTCATTTTAAAAGAAAAATAGATCCCATCTTCAACCCACTACTTTGCACGCAGGAATCATTCGTGAACCACCATTTCTCTCGAGTTTCCAAAGTCTCTGGTCTTGTAGAGTATTCTCTAACTCTGCAGAATATTTTCTAGCCCTAGAAAGTCTTTTTCAGCACCGTAGAGTATTCTCCAGCTTTGCAAAACACTTTATCGCACTGCAGAATATTTCCCAGCATTGCATAACATCACCCAACATTACAGAATATTTCCAGATTTGCAGGATATTATGGCCAAGGAACAACATGCTGCAGTTTTAGCTTTCAAATAGTTCTTCTTGAGCATCAGATGATCAAGGTTGCGAGGTTAGCATCAAAACAGGATCAAGCATTCCATTCGTAAGCTCCCAAGCAATCATCCTTCCTTCTCCCATCACCACTCTCAAGCTTATCCCTTTTGTCTTTGGAAAAACCCCAAAATTGGAGTTGCTATATTCTTCATTTTCAATATGAGGATTGTTCGTTACAGAATAAAAATCTACACTAGGGATGAAAGAGGTCACATTTATTGTCATTATTATCATGTTACAATGATTTATGTATGAGTGTGATTCTCAAGTTGTAATCTTTGAGCCATATATATTTCACATCTTAGCCACCTTTCCTCAACAACGCATAACCTATCTCCATCATATTTTTGGTAGTTGTGTGATTACCTTGAACCTCTAGAATCTCATTATTGCTGCCCAGCTTTATCGGCTTGGCTAAAAAGTTCATCTTTTAAAAGCTTTTGCTAGAAAGTGCACTGCGAGATATCATCACCCAACGGAACGGGATGGCCTGTAACATGTAACCTCTTGCACATGAGACGGGTACCGGCAAAAGAACCCCCCCTCATTTTCTCGAGTGTCATCCTAGTCAGTTTCCACGTCACCACCACTGCTGATTCATCCACTTACATCACCAACACCCCCAAACAAATACTAATAAGTAAGAAAAAAATAAAACAAAAGAATATGACAAATTTAAAAACAATTGTTATTTTAAGATAGAGAGAGTAAATGCTTTTAATGTCATATTGGACAAATTATTGTAAAAAAAAAAATTGTAGTCTCATCATTTTCCATTCTAGGGTGGGATTCTGGTTAGCCATTCGCTTGGTACAGAGTGAATAGCCAACAAACTTTTGCCCCATCAAATGTTGCACAACACCTGGAGGTCCAACACTGGACCTAACTCAAGTTTTTCCCACCGTTGCTATGGGAACTTAAAGAAATTTATAAAGGTATATTTTTTATCAATAAATAATTAAGTAAAGTGAAACCCAAGGTAAATTAGACCTTGCCCCTTTATGTATAGTCAAAAGATGGGCATTTAGTCACTTGGGGCACCTTAGGGCTTGACTTGACTGGCAGAATATCATTAATTTTTTTATTATTTTTGGATTTTTTATTTTATTTTATTAAATTAAAATGTGGAAAGACATGTCTGAAGATCAGACAAAACTATTAGCAGTCAAAAGGTATCTCTATGAAATGGTGTTTTTCTGGAGGGATACATCCTTACAAATAGTGACTTTTCAGGTATTATAAATTCCTATACAAAGTCAGAATTCTACATCTAATTCTGAAAGAGTTTTGAGTTCTATTATATTTTGAAAGATTTTAAATTCTTAAGAAAGATGAGATCACACCTCAAAACAATTCTTTTATTCTTCTACTATTTCATATTTTTTCCAACAGCATGTGTATCCAACACCAACACTGCAGCTTTGAAAAGATTGAGGCATAAACTGAGAGGGGAAGATTAAATCGGTGGCTGTCATTTGGACCACTTTCTGTCGATTTCAGTTCTGATTCCTTAACCGGTCAGAAAGAAATGTGTCTGAATCATATGTACCATGAATTTTGTTGGACATGTGGGTTGTGTTTTCTTAGTTTTATTCTTGGGGTGGATTTGGGGTTTGATCTAGCGGACCACTTCATTTATCACAAATAAATTGTTATCCATTTGGCAGCATGTAGGCCATGCATGATACATGAAGAATCTAGCAAAGCAACAGAATGTCTTCTACGTTCTCTAATCAAATAATTACACTACCTTTACCAAAATTACAGTAATTAATGCACCATAGACAACGGATTTTTTTTTTTAGGGGGTGGGATGGGACCAAATTTGATCCATGAATGAAATGTGTGGATAAGGTTGAGAAGAGAGAAGAGATTGATTCAAGCTTTGTTGCCTTACGTGAGGGTCAATTTGTCCTACCGGACAAAGTTAAACATCCCTTGTGCGGTTGTAAGAAACCTATGTCTCCATCCTGGGAAAGGATCTTTCTTCCCCTTGAGCGTGGAAATTGACTGCTGCATCTTTTAAAGGTAAATAAACTGTTTGCAGCCCTTTCTGATGAAGACCACAAACTGAATAGTGCTAGTATTTTGGGTTCAAAATGACACTTTATACTGTTATGTATTAAAATTATTCAAGTTCGTATTGATCCGGTCTCCTAACATATCAATTTGACATTAATTCTATACATGATTGGATGTAAAATATAACATTTTATTGACAATTTAAAGCCCAGATTAATTATACCAAGAGTTTCTCCCAATAAAAATGATTTTAACTCATATATACCACTTACAATCACAAAATTTTTTTTTTTTTATTGATCCTTGAGATTTGCAATAAAAATAAAAGAGAACTTACATCTCATTAAAAATAGACTCAATTAACAAATTCCTGGAACTCTTCATCAATCCAGGGCTTAGCCTAAACATGAGAGTGCAAAACTCCATTTCATCCAAAGTTCCATCTCCATTCAAGTCACCTTCCCTCAACATGCAAACAACTTCCTCATCGCTCAGATCTTGCAACCCAAGCAATGCCGAGCTCCTCTTCAAGCTCTCAAAAGTGATCACTTCCTTCTCCCTGTCCATCAACAACCGGAACCCATTACACAGCTCCTTCATGAACCCTTCAGCTCCTAGTTTCTCCACCATGGCTGGGAAAAAATCCTCGAAAACAACCCCAATTTGTGACTCCATTTTCAAATTCAGATGATGGCACAGTTAACGGTCATTGCAAGTAGTGGTATTATATATAGGATATAAAGAGAATCAATCAATGCTTAGGATAAAAGGAAATAAAGAAGTGTTGGAGGAAGGCGGGGGGAGGAAGGAGCATCGATGACAACGAATGCAAAGGTAAAAGGAAGGTTGTTGATACCGACATTTTGCTGAGGTATAAATTCATGGCGGTTTCTTTTGCGAAATTGATCTCCTTCCTCGAAGTTGCATGGGGAAGTACCAGGTTGGTGACATGGGATTTGTTTTCCTCTTACAAGATTGGTTTTATTTGAGTGAATTAATAAAGCACCATACTACTTAAAAAAATGTATTCATTTCTGTCTGGTTTTGACCCACCAGGCACCAGAACAGAAATGCCAAGGAACGCAATTTCAAATCGTGACCCTGTAATTAACAATGGTAGAAATGAGGAAAGTCGTTAATGGGGTTGCGAAATGGGAAACTTCTCATGAGAGTTCCATTCTGTTTCCTTTCTAAAACCATTTGCATTAACCGCTAAGCCAGAGATCGCCTATCTTTTAGCCAAATTATAATTGGTAGGTACTCTGGCTGGAGAGGCCCTTTGCCAAAAGGGAAAACATAATGAAAATCATCCATAGATACAATTCAGATGCATTTACATAATTCATCTTGTTTTTTGGATAGCAAATACGGTCTGTATAATATATATTATCTACCCTCAAAAGTGATGGTTAGTTCGTTGTTAGAGCCAGTTCCTTGATTGCTGGAAGAAGCAAGGCTTTCGGAGAACCTTTTGACGACAAAAATCGGTTGTCTAGGATTGGGAACAACTGCAGTTTCACTAGAAAGCATGAACACTACCTCAGTCATGGTTGGTCGATCTGCTGCATCATCTTGTACACATAACAGCGCAACCTGGATGCACCTCAATGCCTGTCCTTCATTACAGTCTTCTCGCAAAGATGGATCCATCAGATCCAATCCCATGTTTTCATACCATAGTTTCCAAGCCTGGTTGGAAATTTGCAGCAATATTTTAGGCTAAGGAATAATGAATCTAGGTACAAATAAATAGAATATTTTGGCACTTACATATCCTAGGAGAGTTAGGGCTTGTTCCTTGTGATAGAATAATGTGTTTCTTTTCCCAGATATGATCTCAAGGACTACAACCCCAAAGCTGAAGACATCAGATTTTATTGAGAAGAGTCCATCTATTGCATATTCGGGCGACATATAGCCACTGCATTTTAATGTTGTATCAGAAGGGTTTGTGAATTAGTAAAGAAAAGAGAAATCTATGTTAGGTCTGTAAAACTTACTATGTGCCCACAACTCTGGTCGTATTTGCCTGTGTTTGCTTTCCACCAAATATTCTTGCCATTCCAAAGTCTGAAATCTTAGGATTCATTTCCTCATCTAGAAGAATGTTGCTGGTTTTGAGATCTCTGTGAACAATCCTCAACCTAGAATCTTGATGAAGATATTGAAGTCCTCTGGCAACTCCAACTATAATGTTATATCTCATTTCCCAGCTTAACAATAGGCACTTCTTTGGATCTAAAAAGTTCCCGATGTCATTTTCTCTAATCTGAATTAAGAAATGTCGAATTATATTTTTGAAGAGTTGGGTTTATAACTGGTCTTACCAAAGACAATTGAGTCCAAACTTCTATTTGGCAAGTACTCGTAAATCAACATCTTTTCATCCCGTTTCATACAATAACCAAGAAGTCGCACTAGATTCCTATGTTGGAGTTTGGCAATCAATACAACTTCATTCTTGAATTCCTCCAGGCCTTGTCCAGAACTCCTTGAGAGCCTCTTCACTGCTATTTCCTGTCCCCCACGGAATTTTCCCTGTCAATTTGGACAATTAATAATCACTACAAGGTTGTGGTCACAAAAAAAAAAACACATAGGTTCATTGATTTTTCCATTAAAAAGAGCTTTGAAAAAGAATCTTACCTTATATACTGGCCCAAATCCTCCTTGTCCAAGCTTATTTGAAAGTGAGAAGTCATCTGTGGCAGCTACAATCATTTCAAAATCATAGAATGGCACATCTATACTCTTTGTTCTGTCTTCTTGGAACTCATCAAATCCTACTAATTCTCTGACACCAATATCACTTTCTTCATTCTGTAAAGTTGATTTTCCTTCAAATGTATTCCTTCGAGCTAAATTTGGAAAAATCCTATTAGAGTTCTCAAAGAACTTGACGTTTCCATAGAAAAATAGTGAATAGTTTCATTGTTTTGAGGAGTAAACCATGCTTACCTCTTCTTACAGTCATCTTTTTCTGAAAAGATTTAATACCAACAACAGCAACAGCTGTAAAAGCTATGCCAGCTATGGTACTTAAAGGAATTATCAACAATAATGGTTTGCTATGCTGTGAAGATCCATACAATGGGCTTTTGTTTTCAGTATCTGTGATAAGAGGTCAAATAACATGTATATATAAACTCAGGGGTTATCACAATTGAACTGCATCTGTTAAGAGAAGTCATTCCATACATAATATCAGAAATTTCACTCACCAGGAGCACAATTTGCAGCCTTGGGATCCCAGTGGAAGCTAAGAATGCAGTTGCACCACCCACTTTTATCCCTTTCTGCATTACGCTGGCAAGTTGAATTGGGAAATTGGCTGCAATCTTCTTGTGAATTGCAACCATGCCGTGGTTGTATGCACAATGTTGATTTTGTTTGTGTGACACAGCTTCCTAATTAACCCAAAAGGCAAAAACAGACTGCTTTACTAATAAGTTGAGTTTCATGGTAATAAAATGGGAAGATAGCTTCTTATTGCATTTGGAATTGTGGTTGGGAGTCTTTTTTTAATAATCATATTGTACTTTTAGGTATACGTGTGTGTTCAGTGATTTTTTCTAGGCTACTTTTTTTAAAAGCTACAAAAAGCCATAGCAAATTTACATCAATTTTATATATAAAGTCAAAAACCTCATTTTAGAGTTTTCTAACGGTTACTTTTATGGATAACACCTAATATGTTTTTTTCTTTTTTTGAACAAGGTTACAAATTCGGTGTGGGGAATTCTAACCCTAATCTTTGGGCTAGGGGATGCACTTTACAAGCCAGCCTATAACTGTTAGTCCATAAGGCTTAGGTGCGATAACACCTAATATCTAATACAATTACAAAATTATCCATTAAAACATATCCTCGTTTAATTCAATTACATTATAATTGATAATATTTTATTTAAACTCAATCTCTTATTTATTTGAAAATTTCATAAAAAATTAAAAACTCATTCATTCTTTATGAGTCGCTCTCCCATAAAATCCAAAAAAAAACGTCATTATAAGAAACTTAAAAAACCTAAATTATTTTTTTTTATGAAAAAAAACCTAAATTATTAAGAAGTAATAAATGTTATCTATTTTAATAATTATAAATCACACAATATTTTTTAATTTTTAATTAATAATTAATAAAATTTACTATATTTCATTCATAATACTTCTAAAAAATAAATTACAAAATATCAAAATAAATTAAATAACTTTTAATCACAATTACAATATAATATAGTTTAATATAGTTACAACTAAAATTACAGTCACAGTATAGTAACCCTAAACGCAACCCTAGTCAGGTAGAAACGGTAACAACAACAAAGACTGAACTTAATTGAATGATGTTGTGAGGCATACCTGAAGCAGTAGTACCACCCAAACGGACCCTTAAATTTCCTCCAAAGGAATTATCACTATTGAGAGACTTGAGCGTCTCATAACTGCTCCATGTCCAGCATGTAGAAGGCATGTTGTCATTTCGACCTTGACGAGAATCATATGCAAAAAAGTAGGCACTGCAGCACTTCTTTCTGCAATAATTTTTGCAGACTTCCTCACTACCGGCCTCAAAATGATTGTCTGGGTAACTCACTTTGTCCAACCTTACATCTGCAAAGGGGTCATCCTCACTGCAACCTGTTACATGCCTCCGGCACCCCCTGGGCCTGGAGTAATTACCAGACTCTGCCTCCGATGTTTGCAGAAACCCTGGTAAGCACGTGCAATTAGGCTTCTTGTTATCCCCAACACTACATATGCCATAATCTCCGCAAGCTTGATAGAAGCTGCATACGTCGCTTGGTTTTGACCAAGACAAAGACCAATTATTGCTTCCACCCATCCATCTAAAGAACTCGATATGGCCAGAGGAATTCATCACAAGCCTATTCTTAACATCTGGTGTTATAATTGCGTCGTTATTGTCTGGGATCATCATGCTGACCAAATCTTCTCGTACATCGTTGAAGGAGACTGAAAGGTTGGACCAACCACTCATCCAATAGGTGTCTGAACGGTTCTGAATCATAAACTGGTTCCCTTCTTTAGCATAAACCTTAAAAGTGAAATCTCCAGGAGCTGGATCGCTGTCGCTCTTCCAAGATCTGAGAGATTTGTTTTTCATATTCATCCCCGAAAGAAATGTATTACTTTCATCCCAGAAACTTTCCCATAGGATATCCTTACCTCGTTGCAGAACTAAGTTCCCATTATCCATGAGTGTAGCATTAGCTGGTAAAACCCTTGATGAATTTGCAGTTGAATTTAAAGACCAAAGAATTATTCCTTTCCCATCCATAACTTGGAGCTCTCCATTATTTCTCATAACAAAAACTCCATGATTATCCAGAACTGGTTTCTCTCTGTTGGCAACCCAAACAACCGTCTGTGGCCGAATTCCATAGTACCATATGCCTAAGTAACGCTTATTTCGAGACCCCTTACCAGGACTGAAGAATCCCAGCTCAAAGACCTTTTGAGCAGAAACAAGGGTTTTTCCATCAGTGACATTCTGGTCTGGAGTAATTGTGTCTACTGCAGAGTTTTGGGTGCTGAAAGGGAACAAAAGCAAACAGAAAATAAAGAACTGAGCATTCTTCAGGGCACAAAAACAGCTAAAGTTTTTCCCGATTAGCCCTCTTCCTCTCATTCTTGGTTTAAATGAAATGCTAGAAAATGTATTGTTTGTGCGTCTTTGTTGCTCCCATTATATCCAGAAAGACCATAATTTTTGCCGATCGAAAAAAAAAAAAAAAAGGAAGAAAAAGAAAGAGCATACTTTTCAAGATTCCATTACAGCCCTTGTAATTTAGTGGTTGATGTCCACGGTTGTAGTGTTCTATTTTTTTGAACTTGGGAAACTTGGAGTGGAGGATTGAGAATGGAGGGCCAAGGGCCTGAATTTGATTTTAGAATATTGAAGTCTTAAACATTTTTTCTTTTACGGGATGACTATTAAATCAATCAATGGTAAAAAAGGTTGTATTATTATATTTTCAATCGACATGAAGTCATTTTTTAATATTTTATTAAAAAATTATGTTAATTTTTAATAATTATTTTTAAAAAAGTTTTATTAATATTTCTATAAAGTACCATGTGAAAAATGTGATTAGAAAGTAAACCCCAAACCGCCAGGGTAAAGGCATTGCATTTTAAACTAATAACAAGACTCTTTATACTTCAATATTTTCTTTTATAATTAACAATAGTGAAAATAAAAATTAAAATATTTAGATATTTAAAATATTAAAATTTTTAATGAAATTGTTTAATATTTTTTTTACAATTATTTATTATCTTTTCGAGATTCCATCACGTCCCTTCCATTTTTATTGTGATGTAATTTATTGGTTGATGCCTAAACTCTAAACTGTTAAAGGCAATGAATTTCCACGAAAGCTAAAACCCAGGTCAGGGAAGACTTCGTCAACAACAACTCCTACACGTTCAGACCTCACAGTCACAATCATCCTTGACATTTACTTTAGTTTTGATCAACGACAACCACAAGGTAGTAGACCATTAGTAATTAACTTTTCATTATATTAACAATTTACTCTATTTAGTTTAGTTAAAAATATAAACATAATATATATTAATCTCAATTTTAAAAAAATTAAAAAACAATTATAAAAACATCATTCTCTAATAAGTTTTTTTAAAAATAAACCTTTGATCAGATAATCACAAGTAAATATTTTGATCATCCATATCAATTTAGAAGTTAATTGAATAATTATAATTATTTATTATATTTTTTAACGTATATTTAATTTTAATAATATCAAATTTTGTATTATTTTTAGTTTGAGTGGAACTAATATACACTATTATCTACAAATATTACAATAACACTTATTCGATCAGGAACCCAACATCATGACTCAAGAATCCCACCTCAAACGTTTTTCCACGAGAAACAAGTGTTAACCCGTCAGTGATAATATTCTGGTTTGGATTAATTGTGTTTGCAGCACTGAATGGGAAGGGAAGGATAGTAAGCAAAAGATAAAGAACAGAGTGTACTTCAGGGCAGAAAAAGAGCAAAAGTTTTTCTCGCTTATCACTCTTCCTTCCATTCTTGGGTTAAATGAAATGCTTCAAAATGTGTTGTGCTTTTAGTTATTATACCCAGAAAGGCACAGCCCTACCATTTATCATTATAATTTATTGTTCGAAGCCTAAATTGTTAAAGGTAATGCTTTATCACTGATCACAAATTCACAATCATTTTCCTTTCTGATTATAACTTTTATCTTGACCAATATTCTATATAAACAACCATTTTTTCTTGTTCAACAGGAACCATAGAAGGAAAATTTATGTAAACTTTTACAGAGTGATTTTGTTAAAGTCCATACTTCATTTTAACATGAAAGAGGCTATCAAGATTCAAGGGTGGAAATTGAAGTCATCAGTCATGGTGGCATAAATTTTTCAAGAGCAAATAAGTGGACTTCATTTCTAGTCGGCAACTACTTTTGCAAAGCAACCATTGTCATGTTTTAATTTCCTTGTTCCACACTTCCAGACATTATAAGATACCATCATCCGGAACCTAATATTTATTTGGTAAAAATCTACTTTTAGCCCTTCACCTTATCAAATTTGAAGGTTTTAGCCTCTCATCTTATATTATGACATTTTTAGCCCTTCACCTTACTAGATTTATTGATTTTAGCCCTTCATATTATATTATAATACTTTTAGCTCCTCATTTATTAAAATTGAAGAAAATAGTCTTCACTTTGTAATATTTTGTTAGTTTTGTTAACTGACTGTTAATTCTATTAACTGATTGTTAGTTGTAAAAACCTTCTTTCAGCTAATAGAGTTAATAAAATTAACTTTATAATATTTTGTTAATTCTGTTAGTTAGCTATTAATTGATTGTTAGTTGATAAAAACTTATTTTCAACTAATAAAGTTAATAGTCAGTATAAAGTGAAAGTTATTTTTTTCTATTTTAATATATGAGGGGCTAAAATCTATAAATATAATAAAATGAGAGGTTAAAAATGTTATACTATAAAGTAAGAAGTTAAAACCTTCAAAACGTAATAAGATGAAGAGCTAAAAGTAGGTTTTTGTCTATTTATTTCAGCTACAACGACTACCACAACAGGAACAATCTTTGCATGGTACAGGGCCCTAGGGATGGCTGCGGGAGGCGGGCAGGTTGATGCGACTAGACTTGGCAAACGAGAAAGTTGGGTCAAACCAAACGAGAATGTTGGGTCAGATTTGGGTTGAGTTAACTCGGGTGATGAGTTATACAGATTGGGTTGTAGATGGGTTGTATAGGTTGGAAAAGTTTAATTCTAATCCGACCCTAACGGGTTACGATTAACCCGTGAGTTGACCTTATCTTTATTTTTTATAATTATTTTTATTAATTTTATTATATATAAATAAAATTATATATATATCTAATTAAAATATCGTAACTCATTACCACTAAACACTTTATAGTCTCTACTATAAATATTTAAATTTCTTGAAAAATAAAATTTTAATTTTACAATCATATTAAAACATTATTAAGGAGTTTAAGCTTTTTTTTTTTTAATGATGAAATTGCTCTTTCAAGAACATCTTTCACTAAATTATTATGTTTATATCCTAACATTACATATTTAATATTTTTAGTTCTATTATCATTTAATTTATAATACTTAGTAGTTAAATCAAACTCACATAATTTTTTTAAAAAAAAAAAGAAGTAAGGAAATGAGGTTAAAAGTATGAATTAATGGAGAGAGTTATTATTAATAAAATTAATTTAAAAAAATAAGTATAATATTTTTAAAAATAATAATAATGAATAAAGTAAACGGATCAACCTATCAATTAATGAGTTGACCCTAACCCGACTTATAACTTGTATGAATTGATATTACAAATTATTTATGAGTTATAAGTTAAAATATATAGATTCTAACATATTTTTACGAGTTAAATTAGGGTCGAGCAAATATTTGCCACTTCTAAATGCGAAAAAGAACATTTTCTCTCCTGTGAAATTTCTCACAAGTATCACTGTCCTGCGATCCGGCCGGTTCATAGTGAAATATTAAAAAATAATGAAAAATTATTGAGTCTCTATATTTAACTCATAATTTAAATGTACTTATTACTCATTTTTAATTTTAATTTAATATAAGTAATTATTTTAAACCAAATTCACTAAACATATTTTTTTATTTAATTCAACTATTTAAGATATTTTATTTTAAAATAATAAAATAAAAATAGTTAAATTAAATTTATAATATAGATGAGAAGGAATCTTTCTCTTATTGCCTCTCCTTCTACACGTCGTCCTTCTGGGCTTCCGGCTTGCCTCCCGCCATCGACCTCAACGCCATCTCCACCGCAAGTACATCTCCGTGGCCCTCCGAGGTTGCGCAATGCTTGGTCCAGTGAGTTAACCTTTGCTTGTGGGAGGCTTTGTGGGCATTTAAGCAATTGTGGGTTTTGGCGTCGAAAATAGAATAATTACTAAAGCTGCGAGTTTTCCCACAATCTCTTCGAAATTAATGCTGCTGTCGGTGTATTCCGGAGAGCTCCACGGCATTCGGCGCCAACCTCTGTTGACTAGTTTGCAAATGTTGAGGTCCACGTAAAAAAAAAAAGAGAAGTTAAAAGAATTTATAAAGACTTATTTATTATCAATAAATAGATAAATAAAGTGAAACTAAAGATAAATTGGGTCTTGCCCTTTATATATAGTTAAAGATGGGCACTTGGGCACTTGGGGCTTGATTTTCAAAATATTTATTTTTTATTTTCGGAATTTTAATTTAATTTATTAAATTTTAATTGAAAAAGACATGTCTGAATATTGGATAACTTTTGAAAGTCTAAAGGTACCTCTATGAAATGATGTTTTTCTGGAGGGATACATTCCTACAAGTAGTGGCTTTTCAATCAATATAAATTTTTATGCAAAGTCAAAGTTTTACATCTAATTTTTGAGAGAGTTTGAGTTCTATTGTATTTTAGAGAATTTTTGAATCCTTAAAGATAGTGATATCACGTCTCAGAACTATCTATTTTTCTTTCTGATAATCCTTATCGTTAACAACCTCCAGCGTGGCCGAGAGAAGGTCGTCTCTGGCTCTGCCTCCATGCTTCATTGTGGTCTCACGGTTCCCATGGGTCAGGGTCCAAGTTTTCTTAAATGCAGTTAGGGGTGAGTATTGGGTACGTGCAGGAATCTTTTTTATTCGGATAAGTGTTATGCTTAATTGTAAAAAAATTATGCAATTGTTATCAAAATAATATATATGTAAATATAAAGTGAAGTAATAAATATATGGGTTTATAATTGTTTATTTAATATGTTTAATTGATTTGTTTAATATTTAAATATGTAAATTATCTTCTAAAATTATCACAATAAAATAAATTATCGCATAAAAAAATATTGATATAATTTGTTATCTTAAATTTTTATTTTTAAGATATTGATTCAAATTTAATAATTGTAATTAAATTTCATTAATTATTGCTCTTGAAATCTAATAAAAAATTAATGATAATTGTTACATTTAAGTTAATTTCTTTAAAATAAAAATTTGAGTAGCAAATTCCATAAAAATATATATATACATATATATATATATATATATATTTGTAACAATTTGTTTCCACACAACAATCTGCGGTGCTGAAAGGGAAGAAGAGCAGAAACAAGGGTTTCTCCATCAGTAACATTCTGGTTTGGAGTAATTGTGTCAATTGCAGACTCTGCGGTGCTGAAAGGGAAGAAGAGCAAACAGAATATAAAGAATAGAGCATACTTCAGGGCACAGAAACAGCAAAAGTTTTTCCAGCTAATCGCTCTTCGTCCCATATTTGGGTTAAATGAAATGCTAGAAAATGTTTTGTGCCTTTAGGTTGCTCCCATTATACCGGCAAGACAGACCATACTTTTCAAGATTCCATGACATCTCTTCCATTTTTTAATCGTAATGTAACTTATTGGTCGACGTCTAAACTCTAAACTGTTGAGGTAAATGTAATGAATTTCCAGCCCTTACAGTCTCAGTTAAGTTAATAATGTATAGGAAAAATTTTAACTTACGTTAAAATTTAAGTCTTAATAAGTACGGTTATAATATTTTTTTCTTTTTTTTTTTAATTTTTTTTGTTAAAATAATAATAATAATGAATTTTCACAAAAGCTAAAACCAAAGGAGACTTCAAGCATGTTTAGGGTTAACTTGTAAGAATTTTTATTTTATTTTTTATTATTTATGAATGATAAATTTAAATTTTTATTAAAAAAAATTTAAAAATTACTTTTAAAAATAAAAAAATAAGTAAAAATTGAGTAAAAGTAAAATTTATAAAAAATATAAATTTAAAATTTTTTAAAATTTATTATTTTTAAAATTTAAAAAAATTATAAAATATAAATATTTTTTAAAAAATTTAATTTTTTAAAATATAAATAATATCAAAAAAAACTAAAATTTTTAGGGAAGTTCATGCAACATACTCTTCCTCTCTTCTCAAGTCAACAACAATTTCAACAGTTCAGGTATCAGTCACAATCATCCTTGATATTAACCACACGATAGCAGACCGTCAGTAAGTAACTTTTCATTATATTAGTAATTTACTCTATGCAGTTTAGTTAAAAATATAAAAGTAGTATATATTAATCTTTATTTTAAAATTATTAAAATATAAATTTAAAAATACCATCTTTTAATTAATAAATATTTTTTTAAAAATATTTAATTAGAAGATTTTAGGGAGATCATCTAATCATACATATTAGTTTTTAAGTTTGTTAAATATTTATAACCCATTCATCATCCTTTTAACATATATTTAATTTTAATAATATCAAATTTTATATAACTTTTTTAAAATCTAATTAATACACACTATTCTCTGCAAATATTATAACATAAAAGCAAGTTAAAATAACGCATACATTCGGAGACCGTTCATCAGGACTAAAGAATCCCGGCTCAAATGTTTTTCCCCGAGAAACAAGTGTTACCTTGTCAGTGATAATCTGGTTTGGATTAATTGTCTATTGCAGCACTGAAAGGGAAGAAATGGAAGAATAGTAAGCAGGAGATAAATAACAGTGTACCTCAGAGCACAAAAAAAGCAAAAGTTTTTCTTACTTATTTCTCTGTCTTCTATTCTTGGGTTAAATGAAATGCTTCAAAATGCATTGTGCTTTTAGTTATACCCAGAAAGACACAGCCTCACCATTTATCATTGTAATTTATTAGTCGAAGTCTAAACGGTTAAGGTAAAGGTAATGCTTTATCA